TATATATATATATATATAAACTAGATAAAAAGGTTTATATATAAAAGCAAGGTGAAGAAGAAGAAGGGGTTGAAGACGCAAGACGAGTAGAAACAAAGGAGGAGAGAAGACGCCAGCAAGACAACATATATATACTATTTGTTTGTCTATGTCTGCTGCTGCTGTACCTCTCCCAATTCACTTTTGTTTCTTTAATAGGTCTTGCTGCTTCTGGTTGTCCGCCCTGCTGCAAGGCATCAGCATTCGTCTTTGCCTCCCAGCAGAATAGCTAAGAGACAAAGAGGCGGTTAATTTGCTTCCGTGTCCTTTGCTCTTATCTGTTGTGGATTATGCGCTGGGGTGTACGTACACCGCACGGTGCGCCCCCCGCAAGCAGCATAGATAATTTACTGCTTGTTGTGTCAGTTTCTTCCTTCTATTCCTGGCTGCTGCTGCTGCGGTTGGGGCCTGCTTCCGCCCTTCTGTTGTTGTACCCTTTGCCTCTCCGTCTTAATAATCTGTTAATTGCTCAGTTCGGGTGTATGATCAGCTTGAGTATTAAGAAGAAAAAAGACAGACGCTTTCTAACTCGCCTGGATAAAAGATCTGCACCTCATGGGCTCTGTATAGTGCGACTTGCATAGACAGAAGCCGTGCAGCAGCAGCAGCACATGGCGTCGTCATATGCTTCAGACCTCGGCAGCATAATACTAATTAGCTGCCGCCTGTGTTTGTCCCCAGGGCCAGCAAACATACATATATGTATATCTATCTCTGCAGCAATGTGTGCTGCTGTTGCTGCTGCAGTGCAGCAGCAACACCATCTGCAGTAGGGGTATATATATATAGTAGTAGCCTGTGTACTGCGCAGTCATTATAATGCATGCATGCTTTATTCATCATGTACATGCATATATGGCAGCAGAGAGAGCCTGTGCTGGATCTATTCGTCGCGGGGTGTACGTACACCTCCCGCGGCTGCAGAGGGGAGAGTCTGCTCAAGAAGTCTTTTGAGTACTTCGGACGGGGTTAAGCGTCTCTAATTAATAATACACACACAAATATAAATTGTTATATATAGAGAGAAAAGGAGACAAATAAGGGTATATATATAGGTACCTATAAGGAGACAGTAGTTTATTCGTCACTAACGTGGAGAGGGCGCACGTAGAGAGGGAAAGGAGGGGTAGGAAAGATAGACAGGCAGAGACAGAGAGACAGGAATAGGGACAAATAAAAGGAGACACATAGACAGCGAGAACGGAGTATACGGAGGTGTCTCAATACACCGCATTAAACAGGAAAGGAGACAGGAGATAGGGAAGACATACAGGAGACAAATAAATAAACAGTAACAAGAGACAGTAGACACAAGAAGACACAACAACCCCATAAGAGGAGGGGAGATGTGCGTTGGTGGCATTGCTACGCATCTTTGCTGCTGCTGTTGGTGCTGCTGTTGCTGCCACTTTAAGACTTACTAGCGATCTACTCGCTGCTGCAAGGAAGCGCTACTGCCATATTACAGCAGCAATAGCGAATGCAGCAGCTGCTGCTGCAGCAGCTGCAGCAACTGCAAGCTAAGAAAGCGACAGCAACAGAGGGGATGTCTCCCCGCTGCTGCTCGTCGCCCCCTCAATAAGAGATCCTACGCTGCTGCACAAAAGCCCGAGGTCACTCTTCTGCTGCTGAGGGTGCTGCACTTGCTGCTGCTGCTGCTGTGGGTGCTGTAGTAGCTGCTGATGCTGCCGTGGGTGCCGCAGTGGCTGCTGCTGTGGGTGCCGCAGTAGCTGGTGCTGTGGGGGCTGCAGTAGCTGCTGCTGTGGGTGCCGCAGTAGCTGCTGCTGCTGCTGCTGTTCGCTGACAGGATGTTTGTCTGTGCAGCGGTTGCCGCTCTCCTGATGATGAAAGGGTAACTGCTGCTGCTGCTGCTGCTGTTGAGGCTTTTGTTGTTGCTGTTCCTGTTGTTGCCCCTGTTGTGGACGCAGTTGCTGCTGCTGAGGCGCTTGTTGCTGCTGCTTCTGTTGCTGCCCTTGTTGTTGCTGCTGTGACGGCTCAGGCAGTTGTTTCCGCTGCTGTTGCTGCTGTGGCCGCTCAGGCGATTGTTGCTTTTGTTGCTGTTGCTGCTGCGGTTGTTGGTGCAGTTGCTGCTGCTGCGGTTGCTGCTGCTGCTGAGCTTGATTCTGGTGCTGTTCTTCCCCTGCAGCGAGCTGCACCTGGTCTTTCTCCTGCTCCCGTGGTTTTTGCTGCTGCAGGGTTTCTTGCTGCTGTGGCTGCTGCTGCTGCTTCTGCTGCTGCTGCTGCTTCTGCTGTCGGGTGTCTTTCTTAGGCTTGCGTCTTTGCGTGCCTATTGTAGGGGGTCTTAGCTTGGACTGCAGCAGCAGCGTCTGCCTGCCAGTTGCTGCGGTGTCTGTCCTCTTCATGGATCTTGTTGCTGCTGCTGCTCTTCCTGTTGCTGCTTTTCCTGCTGCTCTTACTGTTGTTGTTGCTGCTGCTGCCCCATCAGTTGTGACGTCGGGTGTTGCTGTTGCTGCTGTTGCTGTTGCTGCTGCTGCTGCCTTCCCCGTGGTAGGGACTTGCTTACAAGAGGGCCCTTGGGGCTTGGGGCCCAAGGAAGAGAAGACTTGCTGCAGCATGCGGCGCTGCAGCAGCTCTAAGACGGGCAGCTCGTTGCTGCTGAGTCCAACTTCTATTGCTAGTGCAAATAGACTTTCTTCTAGAGGCAGAAGGAGAGACTCGCTGCTCTCTGCTGCAGCAGCTGCTGCTGCTGCTTCTAAGGCGGAGTCGGCTGCTGCCGCTGCTCCTGAGGCTGGGTCTGGGTCTGCTGCTGCTGCTAAAACATACTCTGCTGCTGCTGACAAATCAGCATCTGCTCCTGCTGCTGGGGCTGGGTTTGCTGCTAATGCTAGGGCGGAATCAGCTGCTGCTGCTGCTGCTGCTAATGGCCGGTCTGCTGCTGCTAGTGCTGCTGCTCCTCCTTCTATTGCTGTTAGTGCTTCCCCTACATCTATGTTTGCTGCTTCTTCTTCTGTTCTTGCTGCTGCAAACCCTGCTGCTGCTGCTGCTGCTGCTCGACATTGTGTGTCTGCTGCGTCTTCTAGTGCTGCTAGTTGCCTGCAGGCTGCTTCTTCTTCTCCCTTTTCTGCTGCTGCTGTTGCTTGTTGCTGCGTGTTTGCTGCTGCAGCACCGCCTAAGCAGTAGTGCACAGTGTTTTCCTCCTGCGTCTCTCCTTCTATTGCCTCTAATTCAGGTGTATATACACCAGAGAGAGGAGACACAAAAGAAGAAAGAGAAGCAGCAGCTAATTGTGCCTCTAATTTTGTTGCCTCTGCTAAACGATCCGCCAATGATCGAGCAGCAGCAGATAATGCCTGTAAACAAAAAACCCTAAACCCTAAACCCTAAACCCTACACCCCAAACCCTTCTCTCGTACGCTGCCTTTTTGCCTGTGGTTTGGGATTATGGTTTAGGGTTTAGGACCAATCTATTGAAGCAGACGACTAGGGTTTAGGGTTTAGTCTTTCGGTGTGAGGGTTTAGGGTTTAGGTGTGAGGGTTTAGGGTTTAGGGTTTACCTGTTTCTGTTTCTGTAGAGCAGCACTTAATGTGGATATTTTGTCTTGAGGAGACGAGGAGACACTAAACATATAATAATAGCATAAAAGGACAGCAGCAGCAGCAGCAGCAGCAACAGCAGCAGCAGCAACAGAGTGTAAGACAAGCAAACGAGAAACAAACAGAAAATAAAAACATAACAGCAACAGCAGCAGCAGCAGCAACACAGAGTGACGGCTAATAGAAACAGCAGCAGCTCTTGCAGCAACGGAGGACAGGCAAGCAGCAACAGAGACAAACAGCAAACAGCAGCAGCAACAGCAGCAACAACAACTTCAACAGCAATAACACCAGCAGCAGCAGGAACAGCAGCAGCAGCAGCAGCAGCAGCAAATCTAACCTTTGTGTTTGTTGTGTATATGTATTAGAGAGAAGTTTAGATATTAATAAATCTTTTTTTATTACTATTAATTTATTATTTAATTCTTTTTGTTTATTTATTTTTTTATTTATATTTATTTGCTGCTGCTGCTCATGCTGCTGCTGATGGGCGAGCAGCCGCTCTAAATGCTGCAGCAGCTGCTGCTGTTGCTGCAGACGCTGCTGACGAAGTTGCAGCGAACGTGCTGCTGCTTCTCCAGCAACAGCAAACAGCAGTAGCTGCTGCAGTTCAGATACACTCTCTGTCCCCTTACTCATCAGCAGCAAACAACAAACAACTTGAGGGAGGAGACACTAACAAGCAAGTGGCCCAACAGCCACAAACCCTAAACCCTAAACCCTAAACCCTTAACCCTAAACACTAACACATACACAGAAATGAAGAGGCGAAGACAAACAAACAAACAGGTAAACAGCACTAACCCCTAAACCCTAATCTATACACAAAAAAATAAGGATAAACAGAGGCATACAGGTATGTACATAGACAACAGTAACCCTAAACAGTAAAAGCTAAACCCTAAACCCTAAACCCTAAACCCTAGCAAGCGGTCAAACAAGCAAACGAACAAGACAAAGAAACACGCCGTGCATACAGGAGGTCACAGGCATGTGGGACAGAAGAAGATACTTTTAAGTAAAAATTAATAAGTAAATATAAATAATTCCCTTTTTTCTTTTTGCCTAATTTATTTTTCTTTGTTTTTTATTTATTTATTTTCTCCTTTCTGTCGATTTTTTTCGCATTTGTTTAAGCCAGCAGGCGGCTGCGATGACGCTTCTGCTGCTGGTGTTGGAGGGGAAGAGAAGAAAAAGGGAAAAAACAAGGAAAAAGTAGGCAAATAATTAAACGAATGGAACAAAATTATATATATTTAGCAAAAAACAAATTAAAAAGGACAAACAGCACACAACAAGAACAGGCGCCGTGTAACCTATAGGAATCCGCATATAATCAAGCAGCAATTCATGAATTGGGGTGTATATACAACTATTTATTTATATATTCTTAAAAAATAAAATAAATTAAATAAATCATAATTTATTATTTCGGCCTCTTTATGCCGTTACAATTAACACTACTCTTGGGCAAGGACTCCGAGGCGCATAACCTGGGGCTGGAGCTGTAAACCCTAAACCCTAAACCCTAAACCCTAATGTGTAAGTACAAATTCCTGAATAAGTGACCATAAAGCCCCAAGAGGTCACCCCTACCATAACACCACACTGCAAACCCTAAACCCTAAACCCTAAATATGAAAAGCCACCTTACAAACCGTAAACACACAAATTTGTAAACCCTAAACCCTAAACCCCCGCAGCTGCCATTTGGCTAATGCTAGATGGTGTTAACTATTTGTTAGCTAGCTAATGCTTCTGATTTATTCGTCCTCCCCCCCCTGCATGCATAAACTCTAGACCCTAAATATACACGTATGTACATATATTATTTACATATTGTTGAATATGTATAAAGGGAAATGCTGCTGTCTGCATGCAATAATGCTGCAGGTTAGTCTGTGGGTCATTTGCTGCTGCAGCAGCAGGAGCAGCAGCAGCAAGAGAAGCCTTGCACTAAGACTTCTCTCTATGCAGCTACTAATCTAATTAGCAACAAACCCTCAGGCGGCTGTGTGTTAGGGTTTAGGCTGCCTCTAACAGCAGCTGTAAACCCTAAACCCTAAACCCTAACCCTCAGCGCTCCGCAGTACAAGGCAATATGGCCAGCCCTAGCAAATCACAAACCCTAAACCCTCGAGGGTTTGACCCCTAAACCCTTGCAGTTGGAGTCCTCAGGGTTGACAAAGCTCCACGTAAAAATTCATGAACCTTAAACCCTAAACCCTAAACCCTACGCGATACATATATATCTGCGGTGCCCTGCTAAGAGCATCCTTCTTCAAGGGTTTAGGGTTTAGGGTTTGTCAGTTTCTTCGCTGCAGATATGCATGTATGTAGTGCTGCTGCCTATCTGGGCTCCGCAGCACTTCTCCATCTCCCCCTAAGTATTTCTTTAGCAGCTCGCGCCCATCAACAGCAACAGCAGCAGTAAGTGCAGCAGCAGCAGCAGGTGCAGCAGCAGCAGCAGCAGAAGTTTGTTTGTATCGTAGTTTAGTTGTCTCCGTTGGGTGTCTGTAGTACCCTTCCTGTGTCAACTGTCTCCTGCCTCCTCTTGCTGCTGCGTCACTATTAACAAAGTGCTGCTGCTGCTGCTGCTGCTGCTGTTGCTGTTGCTGTTGCTGCATCATCAGCAGCAGCTGTTTTGCTTCTAGGCTCTTTTCTTCAATGTAGTGTTTAGGGAGCTGTTGCTGTTGCTGCTGCTTCGTTAATCTTAACGGCTTGTGCATGCAATCTTTCCCACCATGGACGTTTATCTGCTTGCATGCATTTTTTATGATTATTAATTTGGGGCTTGAATGTGCATGCAAGCATTTCTTCTTTTTCTTTTTCTTCCTTACTTGTACATCCATACAATTGTCTCTCTATTTGTCTCTTTGCTGCTGCTGCTGCTGCTGCTGACAGCAAACCCCGACGAACTTCGTCTCTATATAACGCAGCTGCCTTTAGCCGTAAGCTATGCAGCGTCACCCCCATGCTGTTGCTGCTGCTGCTGTTGCTGTTGCTGCTGTTGCTGCTGCTGCTGTTGCTTCTGTTGTTGCTGTCGTTGCTGTTGGAGACACAAGGAGAGCTGCTAACAGACCGCAGACGGGTACGACTTACTTTCTTCCCCTGCTGCAGTTGCTGCTGTTGCTGCAGTTGCTGCTGTTGCTTAAGTTGCTGCAGTTGCTGCTGTTGCTGCTGTTGCTTAAGTTGCTGCAGTTGCTGCAGCTTCTGCTGCTGCTCTCGGCGTTCCCGCTGCTGCTGCAGCTGCTGCACTTGCAGCTTTTTTAGGTGTTGGCGCTGCAGCATCCGCAGCCGTTTATCTAGCGGCATTTGCTGCTGTTGCTGCTGCTGCTGCAGCAGCCGCTGCTGCTTGTTTGCCTCTTCCTCTTCAGGTGTCTCCTTAAACCTTACTCCGTGTCTCTGTTTGTCTTGTGGCTTTGCAGCAGCAGCAGCAGCAGCAGCAGCAACAGCAGCAGCAGCAGCAGGCGAGCAGCTTTGCAATTTGTCCCTTTCTTTCTTACTCCATCTGCTGCTTCCTGTATCTGACGTGTCTCCTTCTTTGTCTCTATCTGTCTCCTGCTGCTGCTGTTGCTGCTGCTGCAGGTGTCTCCTTTCTCCTCCGGTCTCCTTAGCCCATGTATATAGTTGCTGCCTCTGTCTCCTTTCCTCTGCTGCCTTGAATAGCTGCTGCTGCTCCTCTTGGTACTTTTTTATTTGTAGTGCAGCACGGGACAGGAGAGCAGCAGCAAATAATGCTGCCTCTAATTTAGGGTCTTTCTTCTTTTTGTCTCCTGTTGTCTCCTTTTCTGTCTCTGGTGCTGGTGCTGGTGCTGCTGCTGTTTCTGCTGCTGCTGCTTCCGCTTCTGCTGCCTCCGCTTCTGCTGCTTCTGATGTTGCTGCTTCTGCTGCTGCTTCTTCCTCTGCTGTTTCTGTTGCTGCTGTTGAAGCGATAGAGTAGTCTCTTTGGTCTACTACTGTAGGCTCTTGCTTGTCTGCATGCAGTGGCTGCTGCTGCTGCTGCTGTTGTTGTTGTTGCTGCTGCTGCTTGCCTTGCTGTTGCATGCCATATTCTTTATCTGTGCGTACAGCCTGAGGTGTATTGGCAGGTATTATACCGTTAACAAAGGAAAAAGAACAAAAGGGAGTCTCCATCTTATACTGTATAGGCAGCAACAATAAGAAAGATTGTTCTTTTTATTAACTGTGCAGCCTGTCCCCTGCTGCTGCTGCTGTGCTGCTGCCGTCCTGCTGCTGCACAAGCTCTTGCTGCAACAGCTGTTGCTTGTGGTGCCTCTGCGTTGCTGCTGTGCTGTAGACGTGCTGCGGTGCTGCGGCGCTGCGGCGCTGCTGCTCCTCCTTTTGCTGCCGCTGTTGCTGCTGCAGCTGATTCTGCCTCTGCTTGTTTGTTTTATTGCTTCTGCCTTATAGGCTGGCTCTCTCCCTCCCCCCGCTCCCCTCCTCTGCCTCTGTCCCGAGCGGCGCTGCCGCTGCTGCTGCTGCTGCTTCTTCGGCTGCTGAGCCTGCTGCTGCTGCAGGTGATGGAACCCGGGCAACAAGAGAAGAAGAGAATAAATATAGAAAAATAAAAATATTATAACTTAAATTTATATAAAGAAGGAAGGAAATGGTGAGACACGGCAGCCTTCGTCAGCGCCTCATCGGCTGCTGCTAACCAATGGTCTTATACGGGAGAGGCGGCTGTTTGCCCTCTTTTGACGGTCTTTTAAAACAACTTAAATATATTTAATTAAACAATTTAAATACAAACATAATAGAACAAAATTTTAAGGAAAACGAATGAGTTTAAGGTAAGAAAGTGCTGTTCTTGTCATCTAGTCGGCAGCAGCTGTGTCTAGACCATCAGAAGCAGAGAAGGCACAGGGAGAAAAAGAATCAATATGTATAAAGAAGGATAATATTAAATATATATTTTATTTATCGTCTTTTATTTATATTTATTTATTTATATTTGTCTAATTTTTAATCTTTCTCCCCCTTTTTTCTTCCCTTTTTACCCCCTCATTCCCCCTACAATCGGCCGCGACCACGGACGACCGCCAGCGGCGCCGCTGCTGCCTTCTTCCCTTCTTGCTGTTCTTTCCTTGTATATATATTTATATATATAAATATATTATATATAAATATATATATTTTATAGTATATATTATAATATATATAATATATTATAATATAAATACTGTTTATTTGTATTTATTTATTTATATTTGTCTATTTTTTACATTTTCCTTCCTTCCCCCCTCTATAGGGCCCCTCGATAGGGCTGGATATATATTATATATATATAT